CTTTAAAATCTTTGTCTGCTAAATACAACTTCTGGGCCATCTTGGGTTCAGACTATTAAAACACATTTTCCTGTTTCTTTGTATGATTCAGTACTGGACATCTGTGTATTCATTGTAAAGATTGGATTATGTTATCTTTCTCTGAAGAGAATTGATTCTTTTTCCAGCAAGCAGCTCAGTTACCATTTGATCCTCTTAAACTGGTGTACGCTTGGTTTTATGCAGATGTGTGAAAAACCCAAGGCATTTACCAATCCTCTCTAATTTGGCTAACTTCTTTATCTCTGCATATTCTGTCATTGCTTGATTTTAGATTTTTAGAGTGGATCTAGAGGAGGTCTTACTCTAATGTACAATCCTTGCTCCTAAGATGTGACTTTCCTGGTGTCTCAGCTATGAGTCAAGTTTATTAAGGTGTTGACAAAATCTCTCCATTCTGTCAGCACTGGACCTCTAAGCTTTCTCCTTATCTCTAGCCAATACTTTTTCACCAACACAATTCAGCCTCTAGTATTTCTGTTCTTCAATCCCATAGCATCTGTTCTCAATCTTCAAGTAATTTTACTCTACACATAGATGCAGTCTAGTCCTCATCTACAGATTCAAAGGGCACTCTCACATGGATTTATGGGGGCCCTTCTCTGTACTGCTCTGTCTTTTTCACTTCCCTGCCCTGAAGATTCTAGATGTCTCTACTGCCCATGACACTAATCTTTGCCCCTTACTCAGCAGGACTTCCATGCTCTGCTCTGTTCCTCGGATCTCTATCTTGCAGTTGAGGAATTGTCCTTGGCAGAGAGCTTGGTGATTGTGGAGCTCAACTGCAAGAATTTCCTTTTCTCGAGACTCAAAGCCTTGCACTACTATTTTCCAATGTCTGAAAACAGTTGTCTCATATATTTTTCCAGATTTAGAGTTGTTTATAACTGGAGGACTAATTCTATAGCAGTTCCTTCTTTACAGATGGTAGTAGAAATACTAATTACTGGGGTTTATGAATAAAGATTCCATAAAGTTGAGAGAACAGAAGCCAGTTTATAACATGGTAAAATAAAAAAATAGAGGAATTTGTCCATTCATTCATTTATTCAACAATTTTTTAGACCTAAACATAATTTCTCTCCATAAAAAATGCAAAACTTCATGGGGAAGATAGATGAGGAAACAGATAAATGTGACACAGTAGAATGCAATGTGATAAGTTCTAATAAAGAGAAATAGAAAGTGCTATAGGTGCACCCAAATGTCTGAAAGATTCAAGAATTCCTCATAGCAAAGGAGCCATGTGAGATGGATGTTAATATTTACATAGAAATTGCAATTTGAAGAAGTGATCAGGATACGAGGATATTGTGGCTGCTAGTATAGATTGCTCATTTGAAAAAAATTGTCAGTTCAAGCAAAATTTAGTATAGGATAAGAACTGTAGGAAGTGGTCAGATACAGTAGTAGGGAGACCTGTGATTACTTAAGGGAAGCAAAAATAAATGTATTGAAATTGAAGATTTTGAAGAGACTGAAGGGAATGGAGATAAGTAAACGCTAAACAGGGGCATTTATACATTGAATGTGGTTAGAACAGATGTAGTTTTTACTCATCACCAACTCGGAGAATCTATGCATATTATTTTACATATTCACTGATAAGTGTCTCCAACAATGTAAGGTTTAATGAAAAGATAGTACCTCCAAAGTAATGGAAGGGTCTCCTCCACCCCCACCCCCCCAACCCCTACCTGCCCACTGCCCAATGTATAACAAATGCTAAGGGGAGCTTTGTTTTCCATAAAAGAAATTAAAGGTCCTTTCTGTTCATCACACAGAGGCTTTGCATGGAGGAGAAATTATTTCTAAACTCAAGAGCACTAACTTATTCTACATTTTGCAAAGAAAATCAAGATGTTAAAAGGGATAACTGAATATGAAAAAGAAATTTGTGTTCAGATAAGTTCATTCCTCAGACTGCTGAGTTCAGATAAAAGGATGATACAATAGGTGATGGACATAAAGGAAGCACATATTAAAAGCAGAAGAGGAGGAAGGATGGTAGTGATAAAAGGTTAAATTATTGGGGCTGGGTGAATAAATTATGTAAGGATCAAATTCACTGAGAAAGGCCAGTTGACAGTTTATGAACATAGTATTTTTATTTCATTTGCCTACACAATCAGCCAGTCCATATTTTTCCCCAAATGGAAGTTTCATGTTGCAGAATGTCAACAAACCTCAACTCTGGTGTAGATCCGGGAGGATCTTGCCTGTTATGCATTGATTCTGAGCAAGGAAGTTGGAGTTGGGCAGATGTTTAAAGAGGATGCGAGTCCTGCTTCTTTAAATACTCATCCTGACCATTTGTGCATAGGCTTCACGAGGAGGAGCTCTATCAATTTATGTTTGACTAAAACCACTAATTCATTGTATCATGGAATTTTAGGTGAAAAAGATCTTATATAACACCCCACCAACTCATTCATTTATTAAGTAAGAAATCTGAGGTTAGAGGCTGAGTAGTTTTGTCTTAAGAAGCATAGTTAGTTATCAGTCAAGTCAAAAAAATGAATGGACACCTAGTTTAGTCATGTAAGTCTCTTTAAGCTAGTTAAAATTAAAAGAAATAGAAACGAAAGTTTTAGCTTATACTATGCATGCATTAGAATAAAAACAGTAATAAGAACCCTGAATTCTGCTTTTATCTTGGGCTGCTTATGATGCCATGTCTTTTGTAGACATTTAGTGCAAAATTTCATTTCATATTATTTCACTTTCCCCACTTTACCATATGTAAAATGTTAATCCTAAACCATAGGGTGCTATGGAAATTAATTAGTATTCACATAATAGGTTGTGTGTGGCACAAGCAGAAAAATGTTAAATGAGTCATTACTATCCTTGTTTTCCCCACAGTTAATGAAGCAAAACAAATGTTTTGAGTATAAGGACAACTGCTTGGTTGTTAAGTGTGTATTAAAACCTTCTTATTTCTAGAAGCAAGGGTGACATGTCCTTATCAAAATATTTGGATAGGAAATCAACAAGTAATTTTCACCAGCTTGTTCTTTGGTCTTTTGACTATTAGATGAAAATATATATCTGTGTATGAAGTAAAGAGGAAAGATGGAATAGAACACACACAAAATAGTCATAGCAGGTATGTCTGTTCAGTATGGTCAAAGCAAACTAAAATACATTAGAATATCAGCATTTATGTCTTGAAGGAACATTCAAAATTCAAAAACAAGTGATATGTGTAACATTTGAGATGCCCTGAAATATATTTTTAGGACTGCTTCTCTTTATTTTGCCACTTTTTAAAAAATATAAAAACAGCTTTTAGGGCCGGCCCCGTGGCTTAGCGGTTAGGTGCGAGCGCTCCACTACTGGCGGCTCGGGTTCGGACCCCGGGCGCGCACCGATGCACCGCTTGTCCGGCCATGCTGAGGCCGCGTCCCACATACAGCAACTAGAAGGATGTGCAACTATGACATACAACTATCTACTGGGGCTTTGGGGGAAAAAAAGGAGGAGGATTGGCAATAGATGTTAGCTCAGAGCCGGTCTTCCTCAGCAAAAAGAGGAGGATTAGCATGAATGTTAGCTCAGGGCTGATCTTCCTCACACACACAAAAATAAATAAATAAATAAAAAAGATATTGAAAAAACAGCTTTTATAGTATAGCTTACAGTCAGTAGCCAGGGAGATATAGTTGAAGCCCAGCTTTCACACCTACCAGCTCTGTGAAATTGGACACATTACATAACATCTCTAAGCCTTGGTTTCCTCATATATGAAATCAAGATAATAATCCTATTTCATAAGATTGTTATGAGAATTAAATAAAATGTGGCATGAAAAGTACTTAGCATAGTCCCATGTTTGGCACGTTATTTTTAGTGCACAAAAAATGTTAGAATATATATATGGGATAGAGTAAGCGCTTTTATTGATAAATGAAGCAGATAAGCCGTTTTCACAGAGATTGTGTTTTTGGAGGAGGATATTATGAGACTTCATTTAAAAGATACGTAAAAGATTGTAGTTTAAATGAAAATATATAAAATATTTACTGTCTCTATGGGTTGTCATTGAAACAAAAGGTATAGTCTGGAGGCAACAGCGTTACTTCTATGTTCCTCAAGGTCAACTGAAATGAGGGCATCACACTGTTCTCATTGAGGCACCAAGCCTATTTTGTGTGTTGCATTTAAGATCAGTGATTGCAGCTATAATCCAGCCCAGTAGGGTCCTTAGAGGCAAAAGGAATGCAAGTAAGCACTTTGGTGGAGTTTCATGGACAACTTGGCTGTGCTTCTGCAACCTTCAATTGATTCGGGACATACCAGGATTAGAATCACTGAGGCACATCGGACTGAGTGGATTTTATGATGAGTACAACTTGAATATAGTGAGAACATCAATCACTCTTCACATGAGACTCCAATTTTCAGAAATGGAAGTTAGAAAATGAGGTTATTATGAGGATGAAGGGGACCTCAGCAAGAGAAACTCATGCTGGATTTAAGGAAGAACTTCTTCAATGCTTGAGTCATTGGATGTTATTTACATTGGAAGATGTGGAATCTCTTTGAAGGGAGAATTTAAAATATATTTCCAAGTCATTTTTTAAATGATTTAAGATCTATTTAGAAACAAGTGGATTAACTAGTTTTCTGCCTTTTTTTAATATTGTTTTTTCAATGGTTAGTACATGATGCTGTGAAACAGTTTAACTTTTTAACTTTGCTTGAAGTTTTACTCTTGCTTCTTAGATTCATTTTTATTTGTTACATTTTAAGTCATAAATGATTATTTTATTTTAGCTTTTAGATGTTTTGAAGGTTCCTTCTATAATTCTCTCACCCATTTATCAATCTGTTCATTAAAGAAAGTTTAAGAGTATTAGTATTAATAAAGCAGAGTACTTTATGCATATTCTGAACATCAACATTTACTATTCTATATATAATTGCTAGCTAACTTCCTCTGTCTGCTTTATCTTTAGGGGTGAATAAAGGCATTTACTTTAGCTACCCATGTCGACGTCACAGCTGTGCTTTAGTAAACATCCCAGCACCATGTGTGAACAAAATGATTTCACACATTGAAGATGTGGAGTCTAAAATACAGGAGCATTTGAAACAGGTAAGTGACATTTAAAATGCTAACTGTTTTGTAAGCTTTATGGAGCCTATAAGGGTCTGTAACTTAAAGAACCTAGGGAGTTATTTTTTAATGAACTTGGAATACTTTATAGAATCTTTGCTCAGTTGCATAATTTACTAATCTAGGCATGGTTTTGATAGTCTTGTTTCAGAAGGGTGAAATGACCTTATTAGTTTGTTTTCCTACCTGTTTGTTCTTTTTCCAGAGGCAATCATGCTAAGTAGTAATTTCCATAAGCCAACTTGACTAGTAAATTAAGTAGTATTTACATCCTTTTTGGGGACAGTAAACTGAGTAGATGTTTAGATGAGTAAATTGGTGTATGAAAGGACAGCGTGCCCTTTTAATGAGTTATTTTGTTCTAAAGAAATACTTAATAGGATTGTTGAAAGAGAATATAATGATTGTTTCTTTGTCTTTTTAACCTGTTAAAGTTTGCCTGTATTATTCTGAAGGGAGTTCAATTTTGAAATCACTGTAACTTTCAGTTATTTTCAAAGGATGATTTAGGAATGATAGAAACCTCCTTATACCTTTTATTAAGATTATATTTCTGAGCAATTAATGCACGATTAGACTGCCCAAATAGGAAGATAAGTTTGCCAGAGACCTGTGCTATCTCTCTTTCTTCACCACTGTTACTGGCTCTGAAAAAGTTCTGATGAGCTATTGACGATGCTTGATCTAGGATGTTTTCTCCTTCGAGAAGCATTGGAGTGCAGTAGTGAAGATTGCAGGCTTTAGAGCCACACATTCTGTGACCTTATTATTTATTTATTTTATTTATTTTTTTACTGAGGACGATTCGCCGTGAGCTAACATCTGTTGCCAGTCTTCCTCTGTTTTGTATGTGAGCTGCTGCCACAGCATGGCCACTGATAGATGAGTGGTGTAGGTCTGCGCCTGGGAACTAAACCTGGGCCGCCAAAGTGGAGTGCGCTGAACTTAACCACCAGGCTGCTGGGGCTTGCCTGCACGTTCTGTGACCTTAGATGGGAATGGAGATGTTGAAGTGCCTACATATGATATACACTCAGTGTATATTAGCTGTTGTTATTTCTGTAATATTATTTATATTATTGTATATTAGTATTATATTACCTCTGTTGCTTCTTTGTTTCTGCAAATCAGACTACTCCTTCAGGAAATTCTTTGCTGGTCACAGGTCTGATGGTGTCCTGGGCCTTGAAGAGTATGTTGAGTAGATAGAAGAGAATTGATGTTTAGACATATGATATGCTGTACACTTTAATTAACATTATGAAAATAGATTCATAGGTGTTTTAATAAATAATTATAATAGTTATCATTTATTAAAAACCTAATATCAGTCAAACACCATGTTTTACTATGTTATATCTCTTAGACCTCAAAACTATTGTTGAATGGTTATTGTTGTATCTAATTGATAGATAGGGAAATAATAATTTAAAATGGCTCAGAAACTTGTTCAAGGTCACAAGACAGAATTGAGATTTGAGCACACTCTGTCTGTTATCACAGCCCATGTTCTTTACCCAATCCCATTTGGGGTTCTGAGTGGTTGATAAACTGCTAAACGCTATGGATAATGGGCCAGCTAAAAGATTATCTTAGATAAAGTTATTCACAGAATAAGCTATTTTACAGCTTATCTTTAGGAAAACTGAAAAAAGAGCCTTTCCTGTGTAAATATATTATGTAAATGAGCCAACTGAATAAATAGAAAAGCTCTAAGGAGACAAGCACCAGGGTGACTTGCTTAGTGCTGTCCTCTGGTACCTGGTTCAGAGCCTAATACATAGTAGGCACTCAGTAAATGTCTGTTGAGTGAAAAAATAAATGAGGACCTGGAGCAGAACCTTTCTTGCCTAGGTACGTCTTACTAACCACCGAATATAGTAAGAGCTACCATTTACCAAATAGCTGCTATTTTCTAGGCACTTAACAAATACATATTTTTGTATCTGTCCTTTACAGGAATCCTTCTTTACTGGTGAAGGTAGTAAGCGTTACAGCTGAAATTTGAACTGAGTTCCATCTGGCTCCAAAGCCCATTTCAGCCTCTGTTTTATGACCCTAAAGGGCAAAAGCAGGCCTTAATTCTCGTTAATATAGAAGTTAGTTGGCATTTTGACCACATGAAACACACAAATTTGACCATGTGAAACACACAAAATAACAATGTCAGATAAATACACTTCTAGAAAAAAACTGTAATAATGATAATAATATGTTTACAAGTAAATAAATGTGATATAAACTTTATCTGAAAGATTTATTGTGAAATAAATGCTCATAACCTTTTTTTTAATTCAAGACCTATTTTAGACTTTCTATTTTCTATTTTTTTTGGTTTTTTGTTTTTTTTGAGGAAGATTGGCCCTGAGCCAATGAAAACTTATCCTGCGAAAAATGCTAAATTTTTGTAAATGTGTGTCTGGGTGCTTTTTAAATATTCCAGAATGCCTGAATGAAATGCAGGAAAAGGACGTTTCTTCTTAACATTTTTACCACTTAAAAACATTTCACCCAATAAAAGTTGTCAACTGATTGTTCCTTTGAGAAGCAATTAACATTTTCCAATTCTTTTCATTTATTGCCTGTAATCCCCAGGACCGTCTTGTACCTATTTAGTGCTGGAGAACAACAGGGCTTACCCCTTCACCAGTTCCCAGGGGGATTATGTATGCAGAGAGGAAAGCAAGGCAGAGGAAAACAACTTGGTGATTACCAGCTGGAGCCTGTGCCCCAAATTCCATTGTAATCCCATAAGGAATTGCACCAAGTAAACCTTGTTTTGAGTTGTAGATTATTTGATTCCTCTAGATTTTAGGGTTAGGAGTCAAAGCAGGCAGCTGACTTAATAATTATCTCTCTGAGTTTCCCAAATATCATGTTTTATCACTCCAATTGTTGAAAAGGCTGGTGCAGTGATGAGGACAGTCTGGTCCCTGAAGTGTCCAGCAGCCAGCAAAAGAGAAGAAGCTGTTTGCCCAAGTACAGGCTGAGTTAAGTCTTCTCTGAGGCTCTCAAATCTGAAAATATAGCTGAAATAATACTCTTGACTTCGACTTTGTTTATTCCATAGTGATGTTTCCCCCTAATGAAGTTGAGTCTTTCTTGGGGACTGTGAGGAGTGCATTTGTGGTGGGATTGGGGTGGGGTCAAGGACAGGGAGAAAGAAAGTGATGCCTTCTCTAGGCCAGCAGTTTTTCCTCTTCTTTTAATTTGCTGCAGTTCCACTTTTATCTAGATTGTTGACTGTATTTCTCTATACACTGTCAGATTTTTAAAAAAGCTTTATTGAGATAATTTACATACCATAAAGTTTGCCATTTAAAGTATACAGTTCAATGGTTTTTAATGTATTTACAGAGTTGCGTAACCATTACCATAATCACAAAAGACCGCATATTATATGATCCCATTTATGTGACATATCTGAAACAGGCAAGTCTATAGAGGCAGAAAGCAGATCGTTGGTTTCCTAGGGCTTGGGGATTGCTGATGGGTGTGGGGTTTCTTTTTGGGATGATGCTTATTTTTTTTAATCAGGATGATCTTAATCTTTTATTAGATAAAGCTCTATAAGTAATTGTAAAGCTGTAATCTACTTTGGGCATGGAATGCATTAGGTGAGTGAAAGATCAATCTTTTTAGATCAATCATAGTTTGCTTGCCCATTATGTCACAGTGGTTTCCATTGTGGTCAGAATGAGTTCTTTAGAGCCTGTGATTAGCAAAGATGCATCTGCCGTAAGCTTGTCCGTCTACTAATAGCAATTTAATTGCAATTCTGAATCTTGAAAAGAAAATTCTTCAGAGTAGAGTTGCTATGAACATTTTCTCTATATTTTATTTTTGCAAAGAATGAGAAAACATTGCAAAATGATGGCAGTAATCACCTGGATGACTTCCCATACAAATAAAAGGTTTTGTTTTATTTTTCTTCCACTTTGTTCTCCTAGACTGCCTAGACTAGAGATAGTTTTATTTAATTTGGAATGATCTCTACTGAATTGAAATTTTCCTCTTCATTTAATCAATACAAGTTGTTAAGATGCTGCCATGATTTAAAAGAATGACTTAGAAAGTATACAGAAATCATTCTTTAAAATACTAAAAATATATTGTGGAAAAATATCATCAATAACAATGATAAAGCTATATTGATCAAGTTCTTACTATTTATCATAGGCTGTATTAAATACTCGATATGCATGATTTTATTGAATCCTCATCAAAACCTTGTGAGGTAGAAACGGCCATTATCCCCTATTACAGATGAGGAAAATGATTTCCGAGGCTGATTTCTCCCAAGATCACACAGACAGTTGTAGAGCCAGCATCCAGACCAGGTGTATTAGAGATCTAAGAACATGCCTTTTACCACTGTTCTATGTCATCTATTCCTGAGAGTGTGTCAGCTATGGGGACCAAAAAACATGAATGTTAAAATGCTTATAATTCTAATTGGAAAACTTTGCTTTGCTTATACCATTTCACGTCTGTTTTTAATTCTGAAACCTAATATTTAATCGTCTGATTCTCTTTACTAAATCTCTAATATTTTTGAGTTCTGTCATTCTCCTAATTCTATTATATTGCATTTGAAACTTAAGGACATTTCAAATCCTGACATATCCTCTATTTCCCATTCTATCATCCCCATTTTTCTTTACTTCCTTGCCTAATCAGTTTACCTCTTAAAACACTTACCAATTGGTATATTATTTATCCTACTCTGATGGGCTGCCAGCTCCATTCTACACCTACACTGCTAAATAGTGCTGAGGAACATTACACAGTAATCCAAATTTGAGATGTTAAGCATTCATGGTCTCCAACCTCAATAGGACCTTTAATACTCCTCTGAAATTATTCTGTTCGTCATCCAGAACTTTCTCTAGTATTCCATGGTGGCTACTCCAGTCCTCTCCTTTGTTTAAGCCTCTAAATCTTCCACCTCCCTACTCATTCATCTCTTACTTCCCAAA